TGAATGCCAGAGATAAGAAACGCTCTGCCTGCGTCACGTGATCGGCGGTCGGCTGTCTAGCTCTTAGAATACACCCAGTTCCTCTTCCCGGTGGAAATTTGAGTGCAAGGGTTTGTTGGGGAGACGCGGTCTTTGGCCGAGTTACTGGGATGCCGAGGCGAGGGGAGCAGGCACTGAAGGCTTTGTTCTTTAGGCCTCACACAGGTGTACAATTTTAATCCAGGGCGAGGTGTTCTTCCACTTTTCTGCAGCTCACTCAGCCCAGCTCTCCATCCCTGAGAGCGTCTGGGTTTTGACAACTTGTTGGCTCTCTCGCCTTTGAGGAGAAATCCGATAGAAAAATAATATTACGGCACAACGTCTGTGGCTTCCTAAAATCCACAGGCAGTTTACGAACAACCCCCAACGCCCCCAACCGAGTTTAGAAGACTCACAAATACACTTCCGCTCTGCCATTCTGTATGGGGAAAAGCGTCCTAAAGAAGCCCCGCCGTGCTGCTGAGTACTCCGGCTTTAACTGTGGCCGAGCATTCTTGTAAGCCTACGAGCTCTCCATATCACTAAAGTTCAGTTTAGGATTTAAACCTTACTTTGAACCACCGCCGCGCACTCTATACGTAACCAAAACAAAAAAAAAGGAAAAAGAAAAAAAAAATCGAATGCACCATAATTATTCCAGCAGATCAAAACAAAACCAAGTTTGTGAGACAGAGCCATAAAGCAAGTATCAAACTTAAGATTGAAATCAAAGTATGGTCTCTAAGGGCAACAGAATTAATCTATTGTAGAAGTCAACGAAAAAGGGCGGAAGGAGATTCCACAAATATTTGAAAACCAAGCAACATAATTCTAAACCTGTATGTCAAAGAAGAGGTTCAACGGAAGTTTAAAAAAAATCTTTTGAACTAAAAGTTTATGGTAATACAACATACCAAAATTTGTGGGATGCAGGCCAGCTCTGTGGAGCAGCACTAGTGAGCTCCTCAGAGCAAGTCACATACCATATTATGACAGAAGGAATATGGTGACCAGGTTGGGCTACCTGGCTGGTCAGCCTGAAACACGCCCAGCACACACTCACGTTCTCAGGACCTGATGATCTGGAGGACTGGGGAAGGGAACTGCAAGGTGCAAACTCAGCAGAGGTTGTTCATCTCTTTTGCTCTCTCACTCGCTCTCACATGTACACACATACTCTACAGAGAATTTTTCTTTGAAATTTTTTAATCCTGTATTTTTAATCTTATTTATTCATTCATTTTATTTTAGTTTGACAGAGAGAGGGAAAGTGAGAAAGCAAGCCACCAGGTCTGGGACTGGAACCGTGGTTGGCCATGTGGGAGTGTCCAGCGCTTTAACCACCATGCCACCTGCTGGTCCCTCTTTGGAATTTTTTAAAAAATTTGTGGGATGCATCTGAAATCGTGCTTGGGGGAAAATCTGTAGCTTTAAACGCATATATTTGAAAACAGCTTTAAAAATCATTAAGTCAACCACAGTTTGAGTGCCAGACCTGGTGGCTTAAACTCACATCAGGCACATGTTGCATGCGTACCCAGGATCCCCAGAGGACAATGGAGAAGGGGTTGCAGCATAGCCATCCCCTCTGTTGGGTGATTTCTCTCTTTCTGTCTCTCTGTCTTTGTCTTTCTGGCAAGCACATGCACCGTATAGTGAAAACTTCTTAAAAAAAATTAGACTTTTTGTTAGATAATTGTGCCCAACTGTAAGCTAACGTATGTATGAGCAGGTGTACATGCACTTGAGAGACAGAAAAGGGCACCTCCATGGGGTCTGGTCATGCCGCAATCCCCTTCCTCCAGTCTTCTAGCCCGTCAGATCCCAGGCACTGGCCCATGTACCTGGCATGTCTCAGGCCAAATGGGCCTGAGATTTGAATCACAGTTCACAGGTGGGATTCAACTTCTCCTGGGCAGTTTTTTTGTTTTTGTTTTTTTTCCCCAAGAGAGATTTTTGCTATAGTGCACATGCACTTGTCGGAGAGACAGAGAGAAAGCAACATATCACCCTCCAGAGGGGATGGCCACACCAGTCTCTTCTCCACCATTCTCTTCCCAGAATCTTGCACACACATGCACCAAGTATGAGTTTTAAGCCACAAGGTCCAGGACTCGAACCGTAGCAAACTACATGGGAATCCAGTGACATAACCATTACACTGCTGGTTCCCTCCTGAGCAGTCTTACCATTGCACCACAAAGCCCGTACTTAAACATGTTTTTTATTTTTTTCTTTCTTTCTTCCTTTTATTTAGCTGTAGGATGCATGCATTTGCAGGAGAGACACAGAGGGATAGTAAGAAAGCATTCCCCCAAGGGAATGACCATGCCACAATCCCTTCTCCTCCTTTTTCCTCTCAAGATTTTGGGCACGCACATAAACATGTCTGGTGTGTTTCTCAAGCAGCCATATCCAGGACTCGAACTATGTGGTTGGCCATGTAGGGTCCAACCGCCTTAACCACCAGGATACTGGCTGACTCACTGGGTCCAAATTTTAAAGCAGCATGTTCTGATTTTGCTTGTGTATCTCTTCAAAACTTTGAGAACTGTCTTCTATCCTCATCCCAAAGAGTACCTTGTTTATTCTTTTTGAATACAGTCTATTTTTCCTATCAGATTTAGGAAAAGAACTAAAAGCTACAACTTTATCCTGTACCACTCTGACCTAACAGCAACAACTCAGTAAACCCACAATAAATATTTACTTTTAATTAATTTATTTACATCCTCCACGAGTGAGGAAAATAGAGAAAGGAAGAAAGCAAGCTAGGCCACCCCAGCAGGGTCTTGATTCCACTCCCCACCCCAGGCCTCAGCAAGTTGGAATTACGGATATGCATACCGGACATGTACAGAGAGACCCCCAGACAAAAACCCAGGACCTTTCTACGTGGCGTCAGCATCGCCAAAGGTTGCAATACCACCATGCCACTGCACTGACCAGCATTTGTATTTCCTGGAGCAGAGGATTACCTGAGTGTTTCTCGTTAGGTGGCCTTTCATGAAACTGCAGTCAGGATGTCAGCTGGGACTGCAGTCATCTGAAAACCTAACTGGAGCGGCGTAACCAGTTTCAAGGTGGCCCGCTCCATGGCTGCAAGCTGGTTCTGACTGTTCACAAGTTGGTTCTGGCTGTTGCTCACGCGTGGACCTCTCCATGGAGCTGTAGGATGTGACGGCTGACTTCTTTCAGGGTGAGTGATCCAAGAGTAAGTCAGAGGCACACAGCATCACTTCCACCTTTGGGGGTCACACAGACCACTTTCGACAGAATCTGAGAAGGGCCTACACTGGGGTATGATTACCGGAAGGCAAGGATCCCTGGAGGCCATCTTGGAAGTTAGCTACCGTAACACTACAGATCAAGCAGCCCTAATCAGAAAATCCAAAATGCTCAATAACTTTTTGAACAAAAAATGTACCTTTAGAGTCTGTCAGTAAGCTGGGAGAAGTGGATATTGGGAAAGTTTTGAACACTGATAACGAGGCTCCAGTGGTTCATTCATTGACTGACAAGATGAAATAGCTGAATGGTTCGGAATCAATGTGATCATAGTAATAGTTACCATGAAGACAATGTTAACACTGCAGAAAAAGTGCCTAAAAACCACATGGTGAGAACGTGTGACAGGTGGGAGAAACAGGCGAGGAGGAATTGTGATGTGACGTCCCCCATGGCAGGTACTTTCTCCCTCTCCCTTTTCCTCTCCCTTCCCCCCCTCTCTGTCTCTCTCTCTCTAGCAAATGTACACACCCTTTGACAAATATTTTTTTAAAAAATCTATTTCCAGGTCGGCCCTGTAGTGCTAAGGAGTATACAGAGAGCTGAATCCCGAGACCAGCAGTTAGCGTAATGGCTATGTCGCTGAACTCCCATGTAGCCAAAAGAGTTCAAGTCCTGGACCCAGTGGCTTAAACTTACGCCGGGTGCATGTGTATGCGTGCCCAAGATCCCAAGAGGAGAATGGAGGAGAAGGGATTGCAGCATGGCCATTCCCCTCTGGGGGGTGATTTCTCACTTTCTATCTCTCTGTCTCTCTCTGTCTTTTTCGGGTGAGCCCCAACGCCCGAAAGCAAAAACCTCACAAAAAAAAAAAAAAAAAAAAGAAAGAAAGAAAAAAGAAAAAAGATCAGGGAGCTGAATCCCACATTGCCAACTGCAGCCCAAATCCTGGCCCAAGTGGCTTGAAAAATGTGCTGGGCAGGTGTGTATTCATGCCCCAAATCCTGAAAAGATGGAGAAATGGAGAAGGGATTGCAGCATGACCATGCTCCATGAAGGGGTACTTTCTCTCTCTCTCTCGTACTCATGATCTCTAGCAATAAAGCAAAAATAAATTTAAAAATCCGTAACAGGGACCAGCAGGTGGCATGGAGGTTAAGGTGCTGGATCCCACATGGCTGGCTGCATAGTTCAAGTCCTAGACCCAGCACCTCGGAAATTATGCCAGGCACATGTGTGTGCATGTCCAAGATCCTGAGAGGAGACTAAAGGAGAAGGGATCATGGAGTGGCAAGGGGGTGATTTTTCACTTCATCTCTCTCTGTCTCTCTGTCTCTCTGTGGTGAGCGTATGTACCCTATAGCAAAAAAAAAAAGAAAGAAAGAAAGTAAGAAAAATAAGAAAGAAAGAAAGAAAGAAAAAGAAAGAAAGAAAATCCATTACAGAAGAGGCATTAAACAACCAGGTAAACAAAATGATTTGGGCAGATGTCCATCCCTGTCATGGGCCACCATGCCAACTTGATGAGCTCATGCACGGGCCATAGTGGCAGGGAGGTAGTATGCATGGGCTTCCACCAACTATGACTGAGCTCGTTACTGACGTTGTCAAGCATCGGATATGCCAGAAACAGAGCTCATTGCTGAGCCATTGATGAAGCAGCAGCCCTGAAGAAGACCGTCATGGCAACTTAACCATAATAGGTGCCTTTCCTCCTGGAGGAGCGAGATTGGTCTATCAAGGTAGATGTGTCATAGGTATGGGTTTGCCTTTCCTGCCCACAGGACTCCGGGAGCATCAATATCTAAGGGCTTTCTGGGTGGCCGGTTCACCAGCAGGACTTCATACATGACACTGGATCATAACACTACAGCAAGGAGTGACACACAGCAGTGGGCACACTGCCATGGGATCCACTGGCTTTAACACACACATCACCTGGACACTCAACATGGCAGAATAGTGGGTCTGTAGAAGGCCCAGCAGAGACACGAGCCTGGATATGATTCACTGAGATTCCAATTCTTACAATGATTTTTGAAATTATAGATTATCTCTTATCTGAAATGCTTGGGACCAGAAGTGTTTCAGATCTTCAAACATTTGCATACACATAATGAAAATCTTTAGATTGAGACCCAAGTCCAAACACAAACACCTTTTTAAATTTGCCGGAGGATGCAAGAGAGGCAGAGAGAGGCAGAGAGAAAGTGAGAAAGAACCCTCCCTCAGGGGGGATGGCTGTGCCATAATCCCTTCTGCTTTCTCCTCCTGGGACTTTGGACGCACACGTGTGCGCGCACACACACACACACACATCTGGAGCGTTTTTTAAGCTGCAAGATCTGGGACTTGAACCATGCCATTGGCCACGTGGGATCCAGCCACCTTAACCACCATAGTACCAGCTCAGCCCTCCTGAACACACATGCACATGCACTGGGTTTCTTTTTTTTTTTTTAAAGAATTATTTATCTAACTTTATTTATTATTATTTGTCAATTTGACCAGCGAGACAGAGAGAAAGCAAGCAGCCACGTCCAGGACTCGAACTATGGCCAGCCATGTGGGAATCCAGCGCCTTCACCACCACTGGTCCCTCAATGTGTTTCTTTCTTATTTTCTTTCTTTTTAAGAATTATTTATTTATTTGATTCCATTTATTAGTATTTTTTAAAGAATTATTTTATTTAACTTTATGTATTTTAATTTGACTAGAGAGGGACAGAGTGAAAGAGAGAGAGAGGGAAAGTGACAAAGCAAGCTACCAGGTCCAGGACTCGAACCAAGGTCAGCCATGTGGGAGTCCAGCACCCTTAACCACCATGTCACTTCCCGGCCCCTATTATTATTATTTTTTAAATTTGACCAGAGAGAGAGAGAGAGAAAGGGAAAGGGAGAAAGCAAACGATCAAGTCCAGGACTCAAACTGTTGTCGGCCACATGGGAACCCAGCGTCTTTAACCGCCATGCTACCTGCTGGCCTCCCCTCATTATGTTTCTTAAGTCATTGGGTCTGGGACTAGAACCACACTATTGACCATGTGAAATCCAGCTCATGTAATCACCAAGGAGTCAGGTGGCCCAACAAAACTCATTTGTTTCATGTACACCTTATACATATAGTTTGAGGGTAATTTTATAATATATACACGTGTGTGTGTGTGTGTGTATACATAGATACATATATATGGGGGGACATGGCCAAGGATGTGCCAGCAGGAAAGAAAGAAAACACCCAAACGGGGTGTGATCATGATGTAATCCTTTCTATTTCTCTATCTCGTCAAGAATTTGGGCACATACACACATGCCTGGTGTGTTTTACAAACTGGTTGTCAGAACTTGAACCATGGTCGCCCATGTGGGATCTGGCTTCCAAGGCATCCATTGAAACTTTATTTAATTTCACAAATGAGAGAAAGAGAAACAGGGACTCGTGACCTGGTCTTGTCCTGCCGCAATCTTCCCACCAGCCTTCCAGCCAGCCAGGAACATGGGTGTGCCCACAGACAAGCCCAGCATATTCAGATAAATCCAGGATCCAAACCCCAAGACTTCCCACTTGGCCCTGGTAACATGCAGCAATGTCCTGCTGCCAGGGCCACTGCAGTTGGGCCTAAAAATGTGTCGTTAAGACTTCTAGAGGGGGTCGGCAGGTGGCGTGGTGGCTAAGAGCACTGGACTCGCACATGGCCGACCATGGTTTGGGTTCAGAACCTGGCGGTTTGCTTTCTCACTCCCCTCCCCCCAACTCTGTCCTCTCGTCAAATTAAAATAAATAAATAAAATAAATAAATGTGATTAAACAAAATAATTCTTTAACAATAACAACAACAAAGACTTCCAGAGAAACATGTGATCAAAAGTATTTCCTGAGGTTCGAGCAAGAGGTCCCAAACAGCTTATACTTCATTTGGTTATATTTCTGCTTTAATAGAGTAACATTTGAAAATACAGATATCCAGAGAAAAAGTAAAGCAATATGAGAATTGAGAGCACAACTGTACTTTAATTTGGGTATTAAGTTTCTAATTATAACAACAATCATACTTCTAGGTAAACAGTGTCCACTAGTTCTGCAAACATATCCAGTGGTAATAGTACAGTAATATGCTTCACACCATAAAACATGGCAAACACCTACTCTATCAATTTTTCATCTTTTCTTTCCTCTTAAGAAAAGAGGCATATCTATAATTCAGAGCCAGATTCCTGAAGTCTCAGGTATGAAATATTGCCTACCAATTTGCTTCTCAAACTAAAATTTTCAAAAATAGCATAATTTCTTCTTTCAAGCAATTTTACAGACACGAGGATTCAGTTAATTTCATAATGATGTTGGTTGGATATGATAGAAAACATGCAGGTATTTTCCAGAATAGGATAGATGACAGCATTAAAGCATAATCTTTTAAGAATTCATAAGGAAAAAAAGGTGATAAATTTAAGGTTCTTTTTCAGATGTTTTACATTTTCTGTAAATTCTTTGTTCCAAAATTAATCATTTAACCATAGTACACAAAATATACTGAATACATCGCCTGGTGTCAAGGAAGGGGAAACCCTGTCTTTTATATAATAAAATCCTCTTCTGAGACGTCTTGACCCAAGTCCTGGAAGTCTGAGGGCAGATTCGTCTTGAGAGGCCTACTGAAGTAGTCGAGAGGGCCGTTTACATCTACTGGCTGGTATTCCTCTTCCATTTCAGTGAGGAAGCCACTTCCAGATCCTGATCCAGAGCCAGAACCAGAGCCAGAGCCTGATCCAGAATATTCCTCAGAAAGAGGGTAGACATCATTCAAGTTCCGGAATTTTGTCATTCTGAAGTTTGTAAGAGAAAAGGAGAAAAAACACAATAGAGATTATTGTCTATGGAAGATAGTTCTAATAATTTAAGAGAAGGACATAAATGCAGTCACCCAGTTGCTCAAATTAAGAGTGAAAAACTTATCATTATTCAATGCTTTAAAACAACAAAGAAGTCGAACCTTCCTGTGTTTGCCTGTACAGTCATGAGTCATGTAACAGTTTCAGTCAACAGAAGACTGGCCACGAATCCAGCAGGAGCAACAGGTGACCTACCAAATAGCCTAGGAGGTCGTGGGCCACACCACCTGGGTTTGGGTCAGCGGCACTGGGAGGTTCACACTGCGGTGTCATCATCTATAGCCATTTCTCAGCACGTATCCCTGAAGTCCGGCAATGTGTAACTGTACTTACACCTAACTCATTGCACGTATCAGTCCCGTGTTTACCCGTTGCAAAATCATAAATGCTGTTACTTTTCTTATCATGAGCATGACAATCCTATATTTAGAATTTACTTAAGGGATCCTTTCTCTCTTTCTTTCTTTCTTTCTTTCTTTCTTTCTTTCTTTCTTTCTTTCTTTCTTCTTTCTTTCTTTCTTTCTTTTTTTTTTTCTTTTGGAGAGGCTTTTGCTCTAGGAAGCGTGCACTTGCCAGAAAGACAGAGAGAGACAGAGAGACAGAAAGCAAGAAATCACCCTCCAGGGGGGATGGCCACATCGCAATCCCTTCTCTTCCATTCTCCTCTCAGGATCTTGGGCACGCATGCACAAGTGCCCGGCATTAGTTTAAGCTGCTGGGTCTGGGACTCAAACCGCAGTCAACTATGTGGGAGTCCAGTGACATAGTCATTACGTGAACTGCTGGTCCCAGGGGTCATTTCTTTAAAAAAAAAGACTCTTTTTTTTTTTTTTTCATTTTCTCCATAAAAGACAAACAACTAAGTTAGCCTAGACAGAAGAACTTTTTCCTATTTAAAATGTTCTTAGGGGCTGCCAGGCAACATAGTGAATGAGGCAATGGACTCCCACATGGCCAATCATGGTTCAAGTCCTGGATTTAGAGGCTTGCTTTCTCACTGCCCAACCCCCTCTATTGCTCTGTAGTCAAATTAAAAATAATGATGATGATGACAATCAATAAAAGTAAATCAAATAATTCTTTTTAAAATGTTCTTGAGGGGTCCAGCAAATGGTATGGTGTTTAAGGTGCTGAACTCCCACATGGCCAACTGCGGTTCAAGTCATGGACCTGGTGGCTTGCTTTCTCAGCTTCTCTCTCTCTTATGAACACACGTGTCCTACAGTAAAATTTAAAATAATAGTAATTAATTAATTTAATTTAATAAATAATTATTTTTTAAAAAGTTCTTGAAACTTATAATAATTTACAGTGCTTCAACAAAGTTCACTCTTGAGAAATTCTTTTTGTAAAATTGATTTCATGAGCAAGAGAGACAGAGACAGCACTCCAAACAAGTTTTGATGCTGCAATCCACCCCCAGCCTTTAGCCAGCCCTGGATAATGGATATACATGCTCATACTCAGGGAGGTCTCCATACATGAACCCAAGGACCTTCCCTTGTGGGCCAGAATCATAGGATGCTCCATTTTACCACTGACCTCCTGTCCAATCCCTTGAGAAATTCCCTTTTTGTTTAAATGCTAGAGGGTACATGCACCCTCCAGGGACAGAAATTTCCTCCCCCACATGGGACACAGTCATGCCACAATCCCTTTAATTCCATTTCTCCATCCTGTTGGGATTTGGGGCGCACACACACACACACACACCTGGCATATTTTTCAAATCACCAGGGTCAAGAATTGAACCTGAGTCAACCACATGGGATTTGGCTCCTTCTTTTTTTCTTTTGCTATAGTGTGCTTGCACTTACCAAAGATAGAGTCAGAGAAAAAGGGAAAGTGAGAACACACTCCCCCCCAGGGGGAATGGCCACACTGCAATCCCTTTTCCACCTTCCTTTCAGAATGTGCCCTTAGACACATGTGCCTGGCATGTTTTTTAGGCTTCCAGTCCAGTACTCAAACTACACAGTCAGCCATGTGGAATTCAGTCACCGTAACCTCTATGCCATGTGGTGGCTCGAGAATTATTTTTTTAAGAGGTTCTTGCCATAGGGCAAATGCACTCACGAGAAAGAGAGAGAAAGAGACAGAGACAGTGAGAGGGAAAGTGAGAAACCACCCCTGACCGGGGGTGGGGGGGGGCGTGGCAGGAATGGCCACAGCACAATCCCTTCTCCTCCCTTCTCCTCCTGAGATCTTGGCCACGCATGCACACTAGGCATGATTTTCAAGCCACTAGGCCTGGGACTTGAACCATGGTCAGCCATGTGGGAGTCCAATGACATAACCAGTACGCCATCTGCTGGCCCCCAAAAAATTATTTACAACAAGGTAAGCATTATATTTTCCAGCATATTATTTCATTTTCTCAAAAAATTTTAAATATATATATACATATATATATATATATCCCCCGGATTATTCTGCCTCCAACCTGCAGACAT